CAGTCTGTCAGTTGGTAAAGACTACAAAAAACTGTAAACTGTATTGGAAAGTCTCCTATACATCATAGCATATTAAATTAAGATAAAAAACCAACATGAACTGTATTAATGCCTACGGTAAGAATTCAAACTAAAGGCTGGTTTGTTAATACAGTCATATTCTGGTATCTAGTTTTCTGAATACCAATCACTGAAAATTCATAGAGGGATTTCTGAATCTGAAATTCAAATAGAAATAGGTGTGACAAATCTTAAAGTCTTTATCTGGCATTGTCATAAATCATTTCAAATTCCAGAAGTAGTTTGTAGAAGAAAATGGGTCTGACTAACCTAATCTGTTCTCTGTTTTTCACAGAAGCATCTTCTGGCTTTTTGGTTAAAACAGGATTAACACTTTGTATGCTACTAGAAAAAATCTGTGAACTTTATATTTAATTAGGAGAATTCAGACTTGGGTGGAATTAATAGGAGGAGGGTAAAGAAAGCCCACACTTCTGTAATTGGCAGGTTTGATTTGAATCATTGGAAGTCAATTAACATAGAATTCCCACGTTGTAATTATCAAGTAATTTTTAAAGTAGAATTACTATGTTGTTCATCTAAAGCCTTCTGAAAGACGTTTTACAAAGTTCTTTTACAGATCTAAAAAGATATTGAGCTGAATTTGATTGTGGCATCTTTTCATTAACTAATTTTATTTATGGTTGCATTTACCTTGAAGAACAAGGTAATATATGTTAATTTACTCAATTTTTATTGTAATTGAAGAAAAAAGAAATCCATCTTTCAAAACCTGTTTTTCTCTCTGTCTTGGATTGGTAACTCGGTTTCTTTTTGAAGTATTCATCTTACACTTCATTCTATTACCCTCTCTAAATGTTATCTTCTGTTTAGCAATACCTCCCTTTTTCATTCATATGAAATCCTTCTCAATTTAAAAGTTTGTTCAACCAGTTTAGATAGATGACCAAATATGCAAAATTGTCTTTCACAGTAATTGCAATTACTGTATGATGAAACAGGGCTATATAAAATAAAACCAACAGACATTCTGATTTTCTATACAGTGAGAAAAATTATATATAAAGTATGTATGCCACTGACAGCTGAAAAGGGAAGTATTTCTGTGGAAGAACTGCAAGAAATTCACTGAAACAAGAGTTTGCAAAATATCAGTGACAGATATGAAAACAAAACCACATCTTCACAGCTGATCATTTTGTGCAATAAAATTGCTAAATGAAACAGATGTCTCTATTTCTCAGCTTGGCTGACATGAATCACAGATGCCCATTAGGCAAAATAACTATAGGAAACACTTTATACTAAAAGTAGCAGAGAAATATTTTGCAGAACTTTTTTTAATACTGGAGTAAAATGACAAAACTTTGCAGTGCTGATTGACACACTGCTCATGCATTTCAGAGCTGGGTAAAGATTCAGTGTTCAAAGCTGTCAAGCACATAGGATGGTCTTTAGCCATCTTGATTACTCTAATAACAACTGTATTGAATTAAGAGCTAAGAAAATGGAATGAGAGGTATTATCTTTCCTTGCTTATATATAATACACATTTTCACTCCTTTAATTATGTCTGGAAGCCTTGTTCATTGTATCTATAGCTTTGTGTTTCCTGATCCCCCAAGACCTTCTGAAATGTCATTCTGAATTTGAAATTTTTCTGCAATAACTGTGGACTGTTATGTGTATACATAAAATTTAAATTGGATTACCAATCCAAAGTGAAATTACTAAACTTTTTTAGAAAATGTGAAGTGTTATAACTTAAAGTGTTCTGTAAACTATGTGGGTTAGTATTCCTTATAAATGTTACTCGCAAATGCAACTATCAGCTCCCTAAAATCTTTTATGGGGATTTCTCAGAATCTTATATTCAGCTCCCTTTCCAGTCTTTTGCCTAATATAGGTGGGAAAAAAGCTATAAAGTTTGAATTTGGCAGAGCTAAGAGGTTAATGATTTTGTGAGTGGTGTAAAAAGAATATTTTTCACTTCCAAATCAGCTTATTAAGTATTTTTAACACCTACACATAGCTACAGCACAAGGAATGGAAAACCATCAACATTGATAGTACCTTACATATTAGGCAAATAAGTATGTTAAAAGATCTTTATATCCTGAACTGGATCTAAATATAGTTGTTCAAAAACTTCATATTTTATATGGTAGGGGTTTTCTTCATTTTCTGATTTAGTTCTGTTCACTACACCATGTTTGTGCTTCTAGAGCCAGGGAACATTCTCAGGCACCAGAATGCAGTTATTGGCATTGCTAAATTATTTTACAAGTTCCTGATGTGCTTTTGCTAAATATCACTCTCCAAAACAATTTCCATACATGATTTGTGAGTTAAATTTGGCCAGATACTATTGCTGGGAACTGTTTGCATGCAGTTATGCTATTCTGGAGACAGAGAACTTGTTAGAATGGATTTTGCCAGATTCCGCTAACTGATTTCTGAGGTAAAGAACAGGCACTGCAGCCTCAATGTACTATTGACAACTTTTGTAAGAATTTATAATACCAGATCTGACTTTGGAAAACATATGGGAAAATTGCAATGTGCCCATTTAAAGATTTTTTTTTTTCCCCCCGATCTTTCTTGCTCAAATGGGCCTTTATTTTGTATTTCTCATGCACATGCCTAAGGAATAACAGCTACCTATAACTGCTCTTCATCACTCTGCTGTGAAAATATTGTATCTAGTGGTCACGGACCAACAGTGAGCTCTTAGGACAAAAATGTTTTTGAAGATAAGGTAGTAACCTATGAAGACCTGGAGAAGAAAACACTAAAAAGGCTTTTGAGGACTAGTTACACTAAATGACATTATAAAATAGGCCACAGCCTGCAAGATACTGTCCAGTCTCCTAAAAAGAATGTTACTTAGAAGGGTGAAAGGTCACAACTTCAATGGGCCATCAAGAGAAGAGCATGAGGGGTTAAAGTTCACAGTAAAAATTCATTCCCCAAAAAGAGAGTGAGAATGGCTTGAAACTTTTAGTTTGATGTCAGCAACAGAAATGGAAGGAAAAGAAAGAATAGGATTTATTTGCAAAAGATTTCTCTTAACATCTACTTTTCTACTCTTCATGTTTGGTGGAGCTTCCTATTTCTTTATTTATTATAGAATGAAATAAAGAAAGTAGTAAGAAAATGTGTGTTTTTTAAAGTAAACATACACGTATGTAATGTAAGCAAAGTTTAATTTGTCATTCTTTGATAAACATTTACAGTGTTTCTCAAGGTTTATTTCTGACCTGAAAGAAAATAGGAAAACCTTTATATAGAAAATCAAAGTTCAGAACAATGGTAGTTTTCTAAATTTCTACCATAAAGACTTTGATCTAAGATTCCACGTGAGCTCCTTCTGTTCCACATATTGCAAGTGTGTGGGAAACATTCAGTAACTGACAATGTTTCATGGCAGAGAAGTTTACTGTTTGACTTTAGCTTATTCCACCAGTCCACAGTGTGTATATGGTTTCAGCACAAAAGGCAGGGAGAGCCACATTCAAAACCCTAATAGCTGAATATTCTACCTCTGATACTGACTTAAAATGGATGCTATGGAAGACAATATGAAGGCATCATAGACAAAAAAAAAGGAGTATTTCCATGACTGCTTGCCAAGGGGGATATTTATACTAAGCTATGTGTATAATGTTTTTCATGATCTGAAATGTGAGTTTAAATTAACAAAAACCCTTCACATGACTAAATATGATCTTACGGAAGTTCTAATTGATGCTGTTAATATGTGTTCAAATATAACTATTTTTAGAAAGGAAAAATATGCACTAGTTCCATCTTAAACTTTTTGGAACATTCTGTTATTTTTTGAGTGTGATATTTAAAAAGTCTTTATATTTGCACTTCATTTTTTGTAATCAGAGCTTCTACTTGATTTGATCCTTCTGCTGAACC